TTTTTTTTTTTTTTTTTTTTTTTTTTTTTTTTTTTTTTTTATTTTTTTTTTTTTTTTTTTTTTTTTTTTTTTTTTTTATTTTTTTTTTATTTTTTTATTTTTTTTTATTTTTTTATTTTTTTTTATTTTTTTATTTTTTTTTTATTTTTTTATTTTTACTAACTTCAATATTCATTTCAACACACAGATTCCCAATGTTACTCAATCTACATTCGCAAATCTATTCATCCAAGCTTCCATATATCTAGACAACTTCTAAATACTATATTTTCAACTCTATCACATTCAACAACATGATCTAAGTACAATCACTTTATAAAATTAATGTTCTTCAAGCTATTCGATATAGCACAATCCCAATTTACATTAATTTTTGATATCGTAGGTGTTATATTTTGACATTACCATCAGTTTATATTGCTACTGATCATTGAAAACATTCTATTTCTCATCTTCAGCCTTTGTTTACCAATCAGCTCCATAATTTCATTACAATTTCTATCCTTATTGCTTGTATCAACTTCATCACTATATTCAATCTTTCAGGCTAATTCCTCTGCATACTTAATCTTTTGGATCATCTCTTCATTCAATACTGGTTAGTTTTCAATCTTTTCCTTATTCATCTCAATTAATTTGTCATTCAATTCAACCACCATCCTTTCTTTCTTCGTTTTTTTGTCAGAATCTGATTTGAGATTATTTTCTTTATTTGAATTTCTATTCTCAGCAGAGTTTTGATAATAAACTAATGTCTTATGTTTATCTTTTTCAATGTCCATCTTTATTGACTTTTGATGATTGGCAAAGTCATCATTTTTATCAAGCTTGACTTTCATTGTCATCATTCCGGATCCAAGTACTGCAACTTCACAAGACTTTACAGGCATGTTATTTATTTTTATTTTCTCCTTCTGATCTAACTTATCCACTTTCATACTACTAACAATATTCTTTTTCATCCCTTCCAATTTTCTTTATCTGAATTAATCATTATTGCTCTACCATCTGAGCTATTTTCTCTTATGTCATTTATATTTGCAACCTTTTGATAATACATGAATGTTTTATATTCATCCTTTTCATCACCTTTTTGTTCATTGACCTTTCCACTTCTTTCACATACATCACCACTTCCAAGGTTAGTTTCTTCTTTTGAATCATCACTTTTAGCAGATTTTTGATAAGATTTGAATGCATTATATCTTTCTATTTTATCTATAATTCTATTTGTATAACAGCAACTAACACCACATATATTACACTTAGTTATTTCGACTCCAATTTCTTTGCTATAGCAACTACTAGGCTTATATGTGTCATTATCATTATCCATCTTTGCAGGCTTTTGATAACAAATAAATGCTTTTTTTTTTGAACAATGCTAGCCATCTTTGGCTTATTTAATACATTTATTAGTAAGGCTTTGCTTTTTATTGGTATTACTTTACTCTTCAATGTCTTATTAATCCTTTTAACTTTTCTGACTTGACTTCGATCTTTATTGTTACCAACCTTGAGACCAATTATTTTCATAAACAGTACATCTATAACTTTCTCTTGATATTCATGTCCCACTTGATTTGGGCAAGAATGAGCCAAATGTCCTTGATACTGACAAACATAACACAACAAGGTCTGTAGTGTTTTTGGTTAACTTGTTGTGTTTTCAAATACTTCACTACATCAAATACTAATCCAATCAAACTTTTAACTATCAATAACAAACAGTTTTTACCTTCTATCTTCTTCAATTTCACTACTCTTGTAATGCTCAATTTTTTTTTTTTCGTATTGTCTTAATCACTCACAAATGCTGGTGGAGACAAATTTCAACAAACACGGCCCTTTGTTCTTTCACGTATTACCAATTAAATATATTTTTGTGAGTAGAACTTTTGTCTACTTAGGTCCTTATATCATAGTGGTTCTTAACACTACTATGTACTTTTTTGCTTTTACTAATAGTCTTTACTCACTTGCTAATCTATTTGAAGACCATGTATTATACAGGTCCTTTCATCCTCGATGTTTACACAAGTATCAGTATATTCACTAAGCTAAAAAAACTTGAACTCTAAACTGATTTTTTATTATCTATTGTTCACTTTTTATATTACATGATTTGATCTGAATATTAATATACCCAGTTACACACATTAGACTATCTGCAATTAGACTTTTAATTAAATCCTGCACTATGCAATTAATCACGCCATCAATATATCCTGATCCTGATTGAATATCAGTACTACAAAATTACAGGATATCAAATTAAACCACGATACTGGTTACAAATCTAATAAAATCAGAGTTTTCACAAGTAGCACTACTGGCATTATATCCTTAAACTGGACAGCAAGAAACATCTGTTTTTTATATATAAATATAAAAATATTTATAACTTACAAACAAATAATTTCAAAAAAAATATGCCTTACAGATTTATTGCTTTGTCTAAGCTATCCCTTAATTGGTAGAGAGATTTGCAGGCAAATTTGCCTGCATAATTACTATAAATATGTCTCTGATCTACTTTTTTAATTATTTAAAATAT